ATTGTTCAAACGCATAGAATGGAGCGTGATGATACTCATTTGATTAAACGTCAAAGAGTGATTGTTTTGTGTTGGAGAGGGTGATGATAATGCCGGTGGAGGGGTCGTCGTGCACATGTGAAGGTGGCCGGATTGGTGAGAGCAAAAGAGGGAGAGAGGTTGGGAATGTGTGGGAACGGGAGTGAGTCAGTAGTAGAAGAATGGTCTGATTTTGTTAAAAGACGCGTCTGATTCTGAGAGGTTGGGAATGTGTGGGAACGGGAGTGAGTCAGTAGTAGAAGAATGGTCTGATTTTGTTGAAAGACGCGTCTGATTCTGAGAGGTTGGGAATGTGTGGGAACGGGAGTGAGTCAGTAGTAGAAGAATGGTCTGATTTTTGTGTGAAGAATGGTCTGATTGTAAAAAATAAATGTCTGATTATCGTTTCAATGGTAAGTTCCTATGCCTCCTTGCCGTTCTTTCTCCGTTCCCATGGCATCAATTCCCTTCCCATGCCATCTTCTCACTCCAATGCACTCGTCTCCCTCCTTGCCGGATTCTTCAGGACCCACCAGAAGATGTGAAGCCCGTGCACGCTGAGGTCAGCAAGCAGAACGCTGAGGTCTGCAAGCAGACTGCTGATGTCAGCAAGCAGACTGCTGAGGTCAGCAAGCAGAACGCTGAGGCCAGCAAGCAGAACGCTGAGGTCAGCAAGCAGACTGCTGATGTCAGCAAGCAGAACGCTGAGGTCAGCAAGCAGAACGCTGAGGTCAGCAAGCAGACTTCTGGGGTCAGCAAGCAGAACGCTGAGCTTGGCATTGCCAACGCTGGTGGTGCTGGCAGCGATGGCATTGCTACGAGTGCTGACCCTGACAGTGGTGAGGGCATGGGTGACGCTGTGCTTGGCAATGCGGGTGGTGCTGCTAGTGATGGCATGGACACCAGCGCTGGTGCGGACAGTGGCGAGGACATGGAGATAGATTCCTTGGATGATGATTGTGCTGCTGCTGGTGGTGGTGCTGCTGGTGGTGGTGGTAGTGGTGCTTATATTGGTGTTGGTGCTGCTGGTGGGGCTGGCGTTGGTTCTTATAACGGTAGTGATGGTGGCGAGGGGCGCGAGTACGATCCATTTGCAGACGCTGTAGGAGGCTGGGAGGGTGACTACAGGCGAGGTGTGACTGTAGCGAGGGGTGGGGGTATCTCAGGCGTTGGTATCGCAGCTGAAGCCCAGACGGTGATTGCAGAGGCGCTTGCTGCGGCAGCAGTTGAGGCAGCAACGGCTGGAGCAGCAGAGGCAGCAGGGGCTGGAGCAACAGGAGCAACTGCAGCAACAGAGGCAGCTGTATTGAAAGAGGCAACGGCAGGAGCAGTAGCAGGAGCAGCAGAAGCTAAGGCAGCAGTAGGAGGCGAAAGAGCAATGCAGGAGTCACCCGCGAGTGCGGGGATGGAAGCAGCAGCAGCAGTGCCCCACTCACCTGGGGTTGTGGGGGTTGAAGCAGCAGCAGTGCGAATTTCACCGGGGACTGGGGTAGAGGCAGCGCTGGAGGCGGATGGGGCGTGGGCGGGGCTGGCGAGTGTGTGGCACGGGGCAGGGGGGTTTTCTTTCGGGGGGTGGCTGGAAGAGGAGAGGGGGCAGGGGAGAGAGAAAGGCGCGCACACTCAGGGTGCGAGTGCACTGGGTGTGAGGGTGCAAAGTGTAAGGGGTGATCCTGGTAGAACGGATTTGCAAGCCCCACCCCATTCCCTGTCTTCTCCCTCCATTCTGGCCTCTCAACCCCTCCCGCCACCTCGTCTTCCAGCCTCTCCCCTTCCCCCTCCCCCTCCATCTCATCCGCATCCGCTGCCCGCCCCACCCCCTCCATCTGATCCTCCTCCTCCTCCTCCTCCTCCCCCTCCCGTCCCTCTGTACTCCGCGCCTGGAGTTGTTGCTGCAGCAGATGCGTTTCCACAGACGCATGGGCATGCACATGCGCAGACACATGCGCATGCACAAGCGCAGGCACTTCCACATGCGCAGGCACATGCGCATGCAGCGGAACATATGGGCCCACATCACCACAGCCATGACTTGTCCCGCCAGCACCACCACACCCATGCCCACCACATTCCACCTGCAACCACCCCTCTCCCAACCAGCCCTCTTTCAGCCGCCCCTCTCCCACCCGCCCCTCCAACCTCACCTCTTCCAACTTCCCCTTTTCCAAATGCCCCTCTCTCGACCCCCCCTCGCTCTGAACCTCTACCCATGCGCCCCCCTTTCTCTGGCTTGGCCTGGCAAGGGGTTTGGTCGGAGCAGAAGGTTTTTAACGGGCAGGTCGGGCAGGGGGTCACGGCCAGGCAGGAAGCTTTTACCGGGCAGGGTGGATGGCTCACGGAGGGAAATTCCCCTGGGCAGGTCGGGCAGGGGAATTTGGGAGTTCCAGCAGGGGAAGGGGGTTTGGGCGGGCAGGTTGGGCCGAGTGGGCGGCAGGTTTTGGAGCTTCTGTGGAAGGAGGAGGAGGAGGTGGAGGCGGCTTTAGAGGAGGAGAGGCAGAGGAGGAGGGAGTGTGAGGAGGAGGAGGCGAGGCTTAGAAGAGGGCTGAGGCAGATCGAGAGGCGATTGGCTCTGTCGAATCAACGGTGTGTAGCACTCCAGCACAGACGCACTCAGATCGCAGGGCGGATAGAGGCTGTAGGGGTAGGGATGGATATGGGGAGTGGGGAAGTGGGTGCAGGTGGGGGGGCGGATGTGGGTGTGGGCATGGGTGGGATGGGCAGAGGCGTGCTGATTGGTGCGCTTGTCCCTGCTGCTGCTATTTCTGCTGCTGCGGTTACCCCTCCTGCTGCAGCTCCTACTCCTGCCCCTCCCATTCCTGCTGCCCCTCCTTTCCCTGCTGCTCCTGCTGCTGCAGCTGCCTTTTCAGCTGCCACGGCTGCCATCCCTGCTTCTGCCATGGTCGCTGCCACTGTTGCTGCTGCTACTGCTGCCCCTGAAGCAGTTGTCTCTGCTGGTACTCCCGGTTTAGCTGGCGTTGTAATTGGCCCTCCGGTTGCTGCTGCTCCTGCCATTGCTCCTGCTCCTGCTGTCCCTGCTGCTCCTGCTCCGTCTATCCCTGCTGCTCCTGTTGCTGCTGACAGGGGCAACACTTGCACCACCCTGACCCGTGAGGCAAGGAGGCACTTGCAGTTGGATGAGAGGGCATCAGGGGAAGGCGCATCTGGGGGAGGTGCATCTGGGGGAGGTGCATCAGGGGGAGGCGCATCTGGGGGAGGGGTACACCAGGCTGGAGCATATGGTAGAGGGAGAGGGGAGGAGTGGGGAGCTAGAGGGGAGCATAGAGTGGTGAGAGTGAAGAGAGAGAGGGAGGAGAGAGATGAATGGGAGGATGAAAGGAGGGTGGCTAGGAGAGAGGAGGGAAGTAGGCTGGAGGAGAGGGAGAGAGTGAGGGAGCGGGAGAGGGAAAAGGAGAGGGAGAGAGTGAGGGAGGGGGAGAGGGAAAAGGAGAGGGAGAGAGAGAGGGAGAGGGAGAGGGAAAAGCAGAGGGAGAGAGAGAAAGAGAGGGAAAAGGAGAGGGAGAGGTTGAGGGAGAGGGAAAACGAGAGGGAGAGAGTGAGGGAGAGGGAAAGGGTGGGAGAGGGAGAGGGGAACGCAGAGGGAGAGGGGGGAGGGATCTGGGAGGGGGGAAGAGGAGGAGAGGAGGGTGCAGGCAAGGCCTGCTACAGCTGGGTCTATTGGTGCAGCAATGGATGGCGCTACTGCTACAGCTCATGATGCTGCTGCTACAGCCGGTGCTCTTACCACAATTGGCAGCCCACAAAGGGTAGCTACAGCAGCAGCTACCTTTGCTACAACTACTGCAGCTGCCGCTACAACCGGTGGTCCACAACTTCCTCCTCCTCCTGCTGCTGCTGCTGCTGCTCCTGCTCCTGCTGCTGCTGCTGCTGCTGCTGCTGTTGAGTCTGCTAGTAAAGCGGATGATGCTGAAGTGATGCACAGGGCGCAGATGTTAAGGCAAAGGCTTGTGTCTGAGTATGCTAGGAAGAACGCCCAGCTGGTGAAGCAAGGATCAGGTAAAGGGCCAAAGGGTGATAAAGGGTCTGCTGGTAACGTGGATGTTGAAGGGAGGGCAACTGCTGGTGCTGTCGCCACGGGTGCCACTGGTGCTGACATTACAGCTACACCTCTTGCTGCTGCTCCCGCTACAGCTACAGCTGGTGCTGCTGCTGCCGCTACCGCTGCCACCACTGCTGGTGCTTGTGGTGATGGCACTGCAACGCCAGCTGATGCTGTTGCTGCTGCCATTACAAGTGGAGCTGATTATACCACTGCCCCGCGTGTTGCTGCGAGTGCTGTTACAACCGGTGCTGCAACTGCCGCTACAATCGGTGCCTCTACTGCAGTTATAGCTGCTGCGGAGACTGCTACAGCCTCTGCTGCTACAGCTGCTGACGCAGCTACAGCCTCTGCAGCTACAGGCGGCAGTGCTGGTGACGATGCAGCAGAGGTGATGAGGCGAGCACAGGTGATTCGACAAAGGCTGCTGGCACAGCTGGCTGCCAAGGGGGGGGCAGGGGCTGGGAAGGAAGGGATTGGGGCTGGCATGGAAGGGGCGGGCAGAGGAGGCGTAGGAACTGGAGGAGAAGGGAGTGGGGCGGGCAGGGGAGCGGCTAGTGCAGGAAGGGAAGGGAGTGAGGCGGGCAGAGGAGGGGTTGGGGTGGGCAGAGGAGGTAGTGAGGCGTGCAGGGGAGGAATTGGGGCAGGCAGAGGGGTGGTGGCAGGTGAAAGAGGGGTTGTTGTGGCGGGTGCTGGAAAGGGAATATCTGCTGCTGCTGTTGTTAGTCGTTGTGCTGGTGCTGGTGCTGCTGGTGCTGCTGCTGCTGCTGGTGGTGCTGCTGCTGCTGGTGCTGCTGCCACTCCTGCCACTGCCACAGTCACTGCCAATGCTTCCCCGTCGGCTCCTGCTGCAGCTGGTGTGTCAGCTGCTCCAGTAGGCATTTCGGCGAGAGCAAGAGATGGAGGGAGAGGTGCCAGCAGTCCGGGTATGATTAGTCCCAGCCAGAGCAGCCCAGGTAGCAGGGTTGGGATGGGTGTGAGGGATGGAAAGGGGAGGGGTGTTGGGGAGAGGGATGGGTACGGGAGGGGTGTTGGGGGAGAGAATGTGGGAGAGAGAAGGCTTCAGGTGTCCATTCAGGTGAAAGTGGAAGCCAATGAGGAAGCAGTTAGCAGGGTTGTGACGTCAGGTGCACCAGTGGGAGTGACGTCAGGGTCTGGACGGGGAGGGGTGAAGTCAGGTGCAGTAGGGCGGAGTGAAATGGTGGGGCGATTGCTGACAGCAGTAGCAGGAGAAGCAGCAAGGGGAGCTTCAGTGGAAGGTATAGGAGGTAAGGCAGCGATGAGCAAAGTGGTAGAAGCAAGATTGGGAGGAGAAACGAGTGAGGCGGCAGGGAAGGGAGCGAGAGCAGAAGCAGCAGCAACAGGTGTGGCGGCTGTACCACCAGCAGTTGCAGAAGCAACACTGGTGGCAGCAGCACCGCTTGTTGCAGCACGGAATGAGAAGCAGAGGGAGCAGCAGAAGGAGAGGGAGAAGCAGAGGGAACAGCAGAAGGGGATTGAGAAGCAGAGGGAGCAGCAGAAGGAGATTGAGAAGCAGAGGGAACAGCAGAAGGAGAAGGAGAAGCAGAGGGAGCAGCAGAAGGAGAAGGAGAAGCAGGGGGAGCAGCAGAAGGAGATTGAGAAGCAGAGGGAGCAGCAGAAGGAGAAGGAGAAGCAGGGGGAGCAGCAGAAGGAGATTGAGAAGCAGAGGGAGCAGCAGAAGGAGATTGAGAAGCAGAGGGAGCAGCAGAAGGAGCAGGAGAAGCAGAGGGAGCAGCAGAAGGAGAAGGAGAAGCAGAGGGAACAGCAGAAGGAGAAGGAGAAGCAAAGGGAACAGCAGAAAGAGAAGGAGAAGCAGGGGGAGCAGCAGAAGGAGCAGGAGAAGCAGAGGGAGCAGCAGAAGGAGAAGGAGAAGCAGAGGGAGCAGCAGAAGGAGAAGGAGAAGCAGAGGGAACAGCAGACGGAGATTGAGAAGCAGACGGAGCAGCAGAAGGAGCAGGAGAAACAGGGGGAACAGCAGAAGGCGAAAGAGAAGGAGAGGGAGCAGCAGAAGGAGCAGGAGAAGCAGGGGGTGCAGCAGAAGGAGCATGAGAAGAAGGGGGGCCAGCAAACGGAGCAAGAGAAACAAAAGGATCAAGGGAAGAAGAGGAAGGAGCGGGAGCAGCAGGACGAGCAGGGGAAAGAGCAAGAGAATAAGCTGGGAAGGCAGGAGAGACCAGGTGGTGAGGAGCATAAAGCCGTGAGAAGGGGTGAGGGGGAGGGTGGAAGGAGTGTGGAAGGAACAAAGGAGATAAAAAAGAATGTGGAAGGAACAAAGGAGATCGTTTCTGTCAACGAAGTGCAAGGGGATAAGGAAAAGGAGGCAGAGGGGAAGAGAGACGAGGAGAAGAGGCAGGAGGAGGCGAGGGGAGCAGTAATGTCAGGAGGGGGGAGAGAGGGAGAGGAGAGGAAGGGAGGGGAGAGTGGTGCTGCTGTTTTGGAACAAGGGAGGAGGGTGGGTGAGACAGTGACTGGTGAGTCAAGGCAAGGGAAGAGGCGACGAGGTGAAGAGGAGGACAGAGAGAGGCGGGTGAGAGCAAGGGAGGAGGAGGATAGGCGGAGAGAGGAGGGGAGGAGACGAGAGGAGGTGGGGAGGAGAGAGGAGATGAGAAGGAGGGAGGAGGAGAGAACGAGAGTGGAGGGGGTAAGGAGAGAGGAGAGCGGGAGGAGGGAAGAGGGGAAAGGAAGAGAGGATGGTGGGAGGAGGGAGGAGGGGGGAAGGAGAGAGGAGGGGGGAAGGAGGGAGGGTAGGGGATGGAAAGAGGAGAGAGCGAGGAGGGAGCAAGGGGATGGGAGAGACGAAAGGGGCTGGAGGGAGGAGGGTAGGAGGAGAGAGGAGCGGGAAAGGAGTGAGGAGGAGGGAGGAGGGGAGGAGGGTAGAAAGAGAGAGGAGGGTAGGGGGAGAGAAGAGGGCGGGATGAGGGACGAGCATATGCATGAGGGAGGCGTGAGGGAGAGTGGTAAGGAGGAAGCAAAGGGGAAGAAGAGAGAAGAGGGCGGGATGAGGGACGAGCACATGCACGAGGGAGGCGTGAGGGAGAGTGGTAAAAAAGAGGAGGCAAAGGGGAGAAAGGGGGGTGCGGAGGGGGTTGAGAACCATAAACGCGGAGCTAAGGGGGTGACGGGGGAAGGAGTGCAGGAGAGGGTGCGGGAGCGGGTCCGGGTGAGAGTGAGAGGGGTGTTGGGGGCAGGGACGAGGGAGAGGAGTCTGGATGAGTATGAGAGTCCGCTGATGATGTTCCGGTGCTACCGGCACTCCCCTGTGTTCATGGCCCGATGGGGGGCTGTGGTGGACTGCGGTGAAGAGGGCCAGGAGGAGGGGAAGGAGCAGGGGAAGGAGCAAGGAAAGGAGGTGGGACACGAGGAGGGGAAGGAGGGGCACAGAGTGGATCAGGGGCAGAGTGAACAGAGTCGACAGCAGCAGCAGCTGCAGCAGCAGCAGCAGCAGCAGCCAGAGCAGCCAGAGCGAGGCCCATCACCCCATGCCCCCCCTTCCCCCCTCTCCTCCCCGGCCTTGCGAGTCCATGAAGCATCGATCGATCCGCACCGTGTGATCTGCACCGCTCAGCTGCGCAGCCAATGCGTGGACGCCAGGTGTCGCCTGCAGCATCTGCTGCCCCACCCTGTGCGCTTTGCCCCTGTGATCAGGGTCGTGAGGGACGATGCTGAACGGGTTGCTGATAACGTGTATGCAGAGGCAGTGGCAAAAGAAGCAGCAGCAGCAGCAGCAGCAGCAGCGTCGGCATCTGCATCAGGTGCAGCTAGCGCAGAAGAGGGTTACCACTCAGTGGTGTCGTTACTCCGAGCATCCATCTTAAAGCCCCATCTTCAACCCCACCACCTTATCCCATTGCCTGGTAAGAAACGCCAGCTTCCCCCCTCCCCTGCCTTTCCCCCCTACCTCCTCCCAATCCCTTTCCCTAAAGACACTTGGCTGCCGAGCAAACATATCGTATACACCCCAATCTGCCCGGAAACGGTTCTCAGCGAATCAGGGCTCGGCGGGAAGGGGTTAAAGGCCCGAAAGGTTTTACTGGAGGTTTTAGCTTCTGCTGCTGAAGTGTCCTTTGCTTCAGCTACTGCTGCTAGAAGCGGGGGGGTTGGGGGGAGATGGGGAGGAGGAGGAGGAAACGGAGCAGGAGGAGGAGCAGGAGTGGGAGTAGAGGGAGGGTGGGGAGCGGCAGGGGCAGGAGGGAGTGGGGAGAAGAGGAGTATGGAGGGAGGGAAGGGAGGTGAGGGAGAGAAGATTGGTAAGGGGGGGAGGATGAGCGTGTGGGATAGGGTAAGTGGTGCGGAGGGAATATTTGGAGAAACGAGAGTGAGTGGGGTTAAGAGGAAATGTGAAGGTGTGAGAGAGGGAGTGAGAGAGGGAGTGAGGGAGGAAGAGAGGTTGCCGCTGCACCTTCCCGTCTCTCTGCTGCTTTCTGGAACGGTGGACTTTTGGGGTGGGGAAAGCTGTCCTGTGATTGGTGAGAGGTGCCACGTGGAGCAGTCTTATTGGTCGAGGAAAGTGCGGGAGTGGGAGAAGAGGGCGCGTGTGGAAGGGGAGGGGGCGGCTGAGGGGGCTACTGTGGAAGAGGGAGAGGAGGAAGAGGGAAGGAAGCAGGACGGGGAGGAAAAAGGGAAGGGGGACAAGGGGAAGGGGCAGGAAGAGGAGGGGTCAGGGAAGGGGGAAGGGGAGGGGGATAAGAAGAAGAGGGAGGAGACTAAGCAGCTGGACGGACAAGATAAGACAGCATCTCAATCCGCCCACCTCTCCACTCCCACTCCCTCCTCCCTCGCTCACTCTCACTCCCCTCTCTCTCACTCGGACTTGGCTCTCCTCTTTGCCTTGAAGCAGTTGCCCCTCCTGCCCATGCCAGGCCAGCCCCTGTGGCTCATCCATCTCAATAAGATAGACCCGTCTCTCAAGGGAATGGGGCGGCTGCTCTTTGCTGCTTGTGCACCGGAACCCACCGCTGCCACTTTAGAAACGGTAAGTCATTGCCTTGAAGCAGTTGCCCATGCTGCCCATGCCCGGCCAATCCCTGTGTCTCATCCACCTTAATCAAATAGACCCGTCTCTCAAGGGAATGGGTCGGCTGCTCTTTGCTGCTTGTGCTCCTGAGCCCACCGCCGCTACCCTGGAAACGGTGAGTTATTCCCAGTTGTACCCCTTAGGTGCCCTTACCAGGCCAGCCCCTGTGCTTCATCCACCTGAGTCTGATAGACCCGTCTTGCTGTCCCTCTACCTCTCCCTCGTGGCACCAGCTGCAGGGAGTGGCTGCTGCAGCAGCAGAAGATTGATGGGTTGAAGATTGCTGCAATGATGCTGCAGGGAGTGGCTGCTGCAAGGATGATGGGTTGAAGATTGATGGCTTTTGAGGCGCCTCAAGAGTCCCTCTACCTCCCTCCCATCGTGGCACCAGCTGCAGGGAGTGGCTGCTGCGGCAGCAGAAGATTGATGGGTTGAATGCAAGCATCATCCCTGCTCCTGTCCCAACCCACCCATCCCCGTTCAGGTCATCGCCTCACTAGCCCATTTCCTGTACCACCAGCCGGGCAGCAGCAGCAGACAACTTCTTAGGTGATTTAATCAAGCCTGCTCTGTCTTACCGATCCCTCCCTCCCCGTCAGGTCATTGCCTCACTAGCCCATTTCCTGTACCACCAACCCGGCAGCAGCAGCATGTGGCACGTCTTCTTCCGCCTCTTCGCTCTCCTCCCTCGCTGCTGCACCTGCCGTGGCTCTTCTGCATGGCGCGCATTCAGAGGGAGTTTGAAGTAAAGGAGCAGATGGCAGCGCTGGTGCAGTGCTGTGTGAGTGGGTCTCGGGCAGGGTTAAGGGCTGGTTAGAGAGGGAAGAGTGTGGGTTGGTTGTCGCTGCTGCACCTGCCGTGGCTGTACTTCCGAATGGCGCGCATTCAGAGGGAGTTTGAAGTCAAGGAGCAGATGGCAGCGCTGGTGCAGTGCTGTGTGAGTGGGTCTCGGGCAGGGTTAAGGGCTGGTTAGAGAGGGAAGAATGTGGGTTGGTTGTCGCTGCTGCACCTGCCGTGGCTGTACTTCCGAATGGCGCGCATTCAGAGGGAGTATGAAGTCAAGGAGCAGATGAGCGGGCTGGTGCAGTGCTGTGTGAGTGGCTTGAAGGGGGAGGGGGAGAAGGGAGGGGGGTAGGAGGGTGGGTTTGAGGGAGTTTGAGCTGAAAGAACAGATGGCAGCGCTGGTGCAGTGCTGTGTGAGTGGGTGTTGGAGAGAGAAGAAAGGGGGGAAATAGGCGGGTTACAGATGGAGAGTGTGGGTGCGAGGGGAAGTGTGTGGGTTGGACGCTCCTGCACCGGTCTTGGCTTTACTTTTGAATGGTGTGTATGTCAACGCCTCTTCCTCCTCTTTCCTCTTCTCATGTTCTCCTTACATCTCCCTTTCTCCCCATCCTGCCCTCTCCCGTTGTCTGCAGTCCCTCTACCTCCCCTCGTGGCATCAGCTGCAATGGCACAAGGCGTCATGTTCTCACTACATTCCGCTTTCTCCCCACCCATCCGCCCTCCCCCTTGCCCACAGTCGCTCTACCTCCCCTCGTGGCATCAGCTGCAATGGCACAAGGCAGCACAAGTCTCATGCACAGCAGCAGCAGACAGCTGGATGAGCACTCTCCTCCTGTATCTCTCCCCCCCTGCCCTTGCCTCTTGCCTGTCCCTTGCCTTCAGTCCCTCTACCTCCCCTCGTGGCATCAGCTGCAATGGCACAAGGCGTCATGTTCTCACTACATTCCGCTTTCTCCCCACCCATCCGCCCTCCCCCTTCCCACAGTCGCTCTACCTCCCCTCGTGGCATCAGCTGCAATGGCACAAGGCGGCAGCACAAGTCTCATGCACCGCAGCAGCAGACGTCTGGACCAACACTCTCCTCCTGTATATCTCTCCCACCCTTCCCTCTCCCCCTGCCCTCTCCCCCTGCCCTCTCCCCCTGCCCTTTCCCCTTGCCTGCTCCTTGCTCGCAGTCCCTCTACCTGCCGTCGTGGCATCAGCTGCAATGGCACATGGAGGCAGCTAAGGTCTCCTGCACCGCAGCAGCAGATAGCTGGATGAGCACTCTCCTCCTGTATCTCTCTCCCCCCCTGCCCTTGCCTCTTGCCTGTCCCTTCCCACAGTCCCTCTACCTGCCGTCGTGGCATCAGCTGCAATGGCACAAGGCAGCAGCACAAGTCTCCTGCACAGCAGCAGCAGACGTCTGGACCAACACTCTCCTCCTGTATATCTTTCCCCTCCTGCCCTCTCCCCCTGCCCTCTCCCCCTTCCCTTTCCCCCTGCCCTCTCCCCCTGCCCTTTCCCCCTTCCCTCTCCCCCTGCCCTCTCCCCCTGCCCTTTCCCCTTGCCTGCTCCTTTCTCGCAGTCCCTCTACCTCCCTTCGTGGCATCAGCTGCAATGGCACAAGGCGGCAGCTCAAGTCTCATGCACAGCAGCAGCAGACGTCTGGACCAACACTCTCCTCCTGTATATCTCTCCCACCCTTCCCTCTCCCCCTGCCCTCTCCCCCTGCCCTCTCCCCCTGCCCTTTCCCCTTGCCTGCTCCTTGCTCGCAGTCCCTCTACCTCCCTTCGTGGCATCAGCTGCAATGGCACAAGGCAGCAGCGCAAACATGTGATTACAGACACTTACCACTCTTACCCTCTCTGCTCCGCTGTCTGTTCGCTCCCCTGCCCATGCACAGTCCCTCTACCTCCCTTCGTGGCATCAGCTGCAATGGCACAAGGCAGCAGCACAAATCTCCTCCACTGCTGCAGCAGATACCTGGACCAACACTCTCGTCCTCCTCTCCCACTGCCAGCTCCTCCCCTCACACACCCCCTCCCCCTCACTCCCCTCTCTAGCACGCACCGCTCCTTCCCAGTCTCCCACTCCTCCCCTTCCGCCTCCTCCTCTCCTCCTCCTCGTCCCCTTGGGCTCCGATGCAGCAGCAGAGATGCAGGAGAAAGGAGCAGCACTCGAATCAATCACCCTCCACCTACGCTCCTCCCTTGGTTTATCAAACCCTAACACCGCCCCCTCGCAATCATCCCGCGTTTCTTCGGCCTCCTCCTCTGCACCCCAAGGAGTGTCCCTCTCGGGTTTATTGAGTCAGCTGCCCCCTCCCCTGTCCACCCCGCCTGTGTTTGACCCGGTCAACGCGAGTCAACGCAGTGCCGAGGCGCTTGACTGTGCTCTGCAGCTGCTGCTGGTCTGGGGGGAGGGCGGGGAGGGGAGGAAGGTGTGCGAGTGGGTGGGGATGGTGGTGAGTGCGGTGGAGAGGTGTGGGAACAGGGAGAGGGGGGTAGGTGAGGGAGATGAAGAGGGGGGCAAGGGACAGGGAGGAGCAGGGGCAGTGGAGGAAGGAGAAATTAATGGAGGAGAAATTACAGCAGCACCAAGAGAGGCACCAAAAGCGGCAGCAGCAGCAGCAGCAGCAGCAGCAGCAGCAGAGGCGCTGCTATCCTGCCTCACGCCACTTGATGCTGCTGTCTTTTTCCTCTCCGCCGCCCACCTTCTCTCTGCCGGCCGGTTCCCTGACACTGTAGCATCCAAAATCGGATTCCGGCAAGATTTGATGCCGCTGGTGGATATGCCCTGGGCGGCAGGTTGTCAGCATGTGGGGTGGGTGTTGCCTGAGGGAGAGAAACAGGTCGGGACTGTTTTGGAAGCTGCGAGGAAGTTTCTTGCGATGAAGGCAAGAGAAAGGGCGGAGGAGACGCAGCAGGGAGGGAAGGGGAGAGGGAAAGAGAGAGAGGGCGGGCGAGAGGGTGAGGGGTTGCTGTTGGCACGTGTTGTTGTGGCAATCTCCCTGGTACGATATGCAGCCTGCAACAGACAGCCAGGTGTTTCCTCAGGTGTTGCTTCAGGTGCTGACGGTCCGTCTCCTCCTGTTTCATCCCCTCTACAGTCTGATTCGGTACCCTCTTCTGTGTACGGAGCCACTTTGGAAGCTGTTGGAAGTGTTTTGAAGGAGCTCTTATGGGGAGAAGGCGAGGATGCAAGTGACTTTAAAAAGAGTCTTAGTATGGGAGATGCTTATAAGGCGTATGAGATGGTGGTTGAGCTAGTGGTGGTGTGTGTGTGGGCGCTGGCAGAAACAGGAGGGGCAGAGGGAGTGAGGGAGGGAGTGAGAGTGTGGGAACGAGCAGAAAACACACTTTTTGGTGGCAGAGGGGAAGAGGAGGAAAGGAAGGAGGGAGGAGGGGAGGAGGGAAGGATAGAGGGAGGAAGAGCAGAGGAGGGAGATGGAGGGGAAGAGGGAGAAGGGGATGAGAGAGGGGGGAGCGGAGGACGAGGGGGGGGGGGGTGGGAAGAGGGTGAAAGGGCAAGGGAGAGGGAGAGGTAGAGGCAAGAAAGGAAAAGCAGCAGCAGCAGCAGCAGAAGCAGAGGCGGCAGCAGCAGCAGCCGAAGCAGAAGCAGCAGCAGCGGCGGCGGCGGCAGCAGCAGCGGCAGCAGCAGCGGCAGCAAGAGCAGCTGCGTACTGCCGATTCGTCTTCTTCCGGTCTCTCTTCTCCCTCCAGTACTGCCAAACGGAGCCGCCCAGCCCGCAAGAGCAGCAGTCCAGCACCCAGACAATGGGCGGCACTGGTGTTGCTTCCGAGTCCCAGCAGGCAACGGGTGGCACTGGTGGTGGGGTTGCAGTGTACGGACTCATGTGTCTCTCCCTGTCCTCCTTGCTGCACTCTAAGGGACTTGCAATCTCGCCCTCTCTCGCGGCAGCAGCAGCAGCTGCTGGTAGTGCTGCTGCTGGCGCCACTCGTGGTGCTGCTGATGCTGGTGTTGGTGCTGAGGTGGAAAGCGGTGCTGCTGATCTGGCAGCCACATCAGCAGGAGCAGCAGCAGCAGCAAGTGCAGCAGTGGGGGAGGCACTGAGGAATGGGGGCTACCTGCATGTGAGAGACGCTGTTCAATGGGCCCTCGCTCTTGCTGCTTCTCATCCTTCCACCACTGCTCACACCCCCGCTGCTGCCGACACTCCCGTTGCTGTTGAGCCTTCAACAGCTCCTCACAATCCCACTGCTTCGCACACCCCCTCTGCTTCGCCCACCCCCTCTGCTACTCATCCTTCCACTTCCTCCTCACTGGACTCTTCCGTTCCTCCTCCCCATTCCCCTCTCACCATCCCTTCTCTCCTCATCTGGGCTCAATCACACTCTCTCCTCCACCACCTCCTCCCTCCTCTCCACCCTCTCTTCCCCTCCTCCTCCTCTCCTTCCCTCGCACCATCACCCAACCACCTCCCCTCCCCATTACCTTCCCTCACCTCGGAATACCCCCCTCAAGTGCAACAGGCTCTCTCGTTCCTCCTAGGCCCTCCTAATGTCGACTTTTCTCTCCTTAACGCGTGTATGGGAATTGGCTCTGCTCCTTCAGTCATTTCGCTCGCTGCTCCTCCTGCTCCTGCTCCTGCTCCTGCTCCTGCTCCCCCTCCTGCTCCTTCTCCTGCTTCCAGTGCTCTTTCTCTCACCCCATCTTTTCCTCCTAATCACCCCGACGAGGCTCGGCAGCTAGAGCAGGTTCGTCAAGTCCTGGACCTCCTGCCTCGAAACGTGCCTCTCGCCCGAACCTACCTCGACCTCTTGTTCGGTAACAACCTCCCGAACGTGCTCCAAGCCACGGCTGCTGCAGCGGCGGCAGCTTCGGAAGCTGCTTCAAAGCCAAAGCCGAAGCAGAAAGGCAGGTCTGGCGAAGCTACCGAGCCTGTTACACTACCGCCGACGGTCAACCCATCCCAGCTGACCCATGCGGTTACCGCGTTACTAACAGCGTTGCAGTATGGGGGAGGGGGGGTGGGGGCAGCAGCAGGGGGGCGGGATCGGGGCATCCTGGCTGGGAGGCGGAATGGACGGTTCTGATCGACGTTGTGGATGTGATCATGGCGAATCGGACGGCTGCGTGCGCGCTGGCTCGTGTGGGTGTGGCTATCCACCCTCTGTCGAAGCAACTGCAGGAAAGAGAGGTGGGCGGACCATGGGGGCGGAGAGGGGGGAAGAGTTGGGGATTGGGAAATGGAGAGTGGAGAAAGAGTGGGAAATGGAGAGTGGAGAAAGAGTGGGAAATGGAAGGGCAGGAGGTGGAGGGTTGTTGTAAGACTGATCAGCACTCCACTGATTTGTTGATGCGGGCTTTTGACTCTGTTTCTGTTCATGCCTCTATTTGTGTTTGTGTTTTTTTATGTATGTGGGGTGGGTGTGTTTGTTGGGGGAATGAGGCAGGGGGGTGGGCGGGTGTTTGTGTGATTTTGGGGAATGGGAGAGGGGCAGGGAGGGGGTGCGGGGTGATTGACATTTGGGGGGTTGTGTGTGTGTGTTCATGCTGGTTGGGGCTCATTAATGCCTAACATGTGATCATGCTGACTCATGCTGGTGAATGCTGGGTTGTGGTGTGTGTGAGGGTGGCGAGTGAGTGTTTGTGTGTGCCACATTTGTGTGTGCTTGTGCATATGTGCAGAAGTGTGTGCATGGGGGTGTGTATGTGTGTGCGTGGGGTGTGTGCGTGGGGGTGTGTATGTGTGTGCGTGCCTGTGCATGTGCATGTGTGCACGCATGTGTGTGCATGCATGTGTGTGCATGCATGTGTGTGCATGCATGTGTGTGCATGTATGTGCACATGTGCGCGCGCACATGCATGTGTGCGTGCATGCGCGTGTTCATGTGTGCATGCATGGTGTGCGCATATTTGCATGTGCGTGTGTATGTGCGTTTATGTGCGTGCGTGTGTGTGTGCGTTTATGTGTGAGTGTGTGTGTGTGTCGGTACTACTGTGGCAGGCCAAGCTCAACCCAAAAGCGACACAGAAGAAGGAGAAAGCCCAAGCCCATCCCACCAACCGTTTTGCGTGAGCTCAGTGCGGTGCAGAGCAGTGTGGTGGCGTGGAGCGCGGTGCTGTGCAGTGCGGTGAGCCCATGCCATCAACCGTTATAAGTGAGCACAGTGCGGAGCAGAGCAGCGCATTGCAGTGCTTTGTAGCGCATTGCAGTGCTTTGCAGTGCGGCGCAAAGGGAGGGAAAGGCAGAGCAGGAGGAATGCCGTGCAAAAGCGGCATAGATGTTTGAGAGGGCCCTTCAGGAAAAGCAGGGCAGGGAAGATCTTTGCAGTGCTGTGCAGAGCAGTGCATTGGGGTGCAGTGCGGTGCAGTGCAAAGAGTGAGGGAGGCAGAGCAGCAGCACGGGGCAGCAGAGTATGAAGGGTGAAGAGGGCAACTCGCTGATTGTGGAGGAAAGGAGAGGAGAGGAGAGGAGAGGAGAGGGGGCAGAAGCAACCCCCAATGGTCGGGTAAGACGCAAGGGGCAAGCCCCTGTTAAGGTGAGTAGGTTGCAAGGGGTGCAGTAAATCAGGCTAGGCGTTCAATATCACAAAGGATACTTCTCTGCAGTATCACTCTTTATAAGGTGTTCTGATTACGTATGGTGGTTTCGCAAAGCATGGGTAAGGTTTAAGGTGCCTGTGTGGGTGAGGCTGACAGAGTGGCAGAGGTTTATCAAGAGGTTGTGTGTGGTTGCATTGACATCGTGTGTGGTTGAGAAGGGAAGGCTGAAAGTGAGGACAAAAAACATCTATTGAAAAAAAGAAGGCTGGGGAGAGAAGATGGGAGGAAGGAGGCTGAGTGCTAAGTAGGTTGTTGAGCTGTGATCTTGGGGGGTAGAAGATGTGAGGTATGTCAGGAAGCTCAAATTCTCTTCTCTTTTTTGCCTCTCTTTCCTCCCTTCCCATCACTCCCACTGTTCCATTTTTGCGTAATCAGTATGCCTTGCGAGAGGTAAAGAGAGGGGAGGCTGGAGAGAGAAGGGGTGTGAGGCTGAGAGGGAGGGACAGAGAGGGGAGAGGGAGGGATGAGGACGAAAGTGTGCTTGTTTGTGTGTGTGTGAAAGGGGGTGCATGTTCGTGCTGTTTGAGAATTCATCCAGTGTAGGGATGTGAAGAGGGGGAGAGGCACAGGGGGATCAGAGAACCTAACCGTTGCTTTGTCTTGCAGGGTATTCTTGAGTCAACTCTTAACTTTGCCACCAGCAGCACCACCAGCAGCAGCACCACCAGCATCATCAGCAGCAGCACCAGCACCATCAGCAGGAACAGCAGCAGCATTAGAAGCCCCACCACCACCATTACCATGACCACCACCACCATAATCACCACCATCATCAGCACAGCACATTAGCAACATCACCACCAGCTTACTACATGTGCTTATTCCACACTTCTATGCGTTTTCGGCTTCAACATACCTGTCTTCATATTTCATCTCGTCTAATAAGCAGTTGTTGCATTCATGTGCGTGTGATGTGAACCATTGAATGTTTAGAACAACAAGAATGTGATGTATTCTTTTCTTCCGTGTTAACAAAATGATTTTTATTTCTAGCCACAAGTTTTAAGAAAGTGTTCCTTCTTCAAAAGTTTAGCCCGCTGCACTTCGTGCACATGTGCGGATCCTTCCGCGTTTTGGGGGTAGAAGCGCTCATTCGCGAGTGCCGATGACCGATGATGCTCGCAACACTCCCACGCCCTTGCTGGCTTGGCAAGAGGACCAGACAAGCGCAGCCACGTGACTTGGCGGAAGAAAAGCGGCTGGAATGAGCGCTTCTACCCCAAAAACGCTGAAGGATCCGCATTCGTGCAGGAAGTGCAGCGTGCGCTCTTCATTCGCGAGCGCCGATGACCGACGATGCTCGCAACCCTCCCACGCCCTTGCTGGCTTGGCAAGAGGACCAGACAAGCGCAGCCACGTGATCTGTTGGAAGAAAAACGCTCGGAACGAGTGCTAGTACCCCCAAAACGCGGAAGGATCCGCACATGTGCACGAAGTGCAGCGGACGCTCTTCATTCGCGAGCGCCGATGACCGATGATGCTCGCAACCCTCCTACGCCCTTGCTGGCTTGGTGAGCGGACCAGACAAGCGCAGCCACGTGACCCAGCGGAAGAAAAACGCTTGGAACGAGCGCTTCTACCCCCAGAACGCGGAAGGATCCGCACATGTGCACGAAGTGCAGCGGGCGCTCTTCATTCGCGAGCACCGATGACCGATGATGCTCGCAACCCTCCCACACCCTTGCTGGCTTGGCAAGAGGACCAGACAAGCGCAGCCACGTGACCCGCCGGAAGAAAATCGCTTGGAATGACCGCTTCTACCCCCCAATATGCGGAAGAATCCGCATTTGTGCACGAAGTGCAGTGGTCGCTCTTCATTTGCGAGCGCCGATGACCGATGATGCTCGCAACCCTCCCACGCCCTTGCTGGCTTGGCAAGAGGACCAGACAAGCGTAGCCACGTGACCCGGTGGAAGAAAAACGCTTGGAACGAGCGCTTCTACCCCCAAAATGCTGAAGGATCCGCATTCGTGCAGGAAGTGCAGCGGGCGCTCTTCATTTGCGAGCGCCGACGACCGATGATGCTCGCAACCCTCCCACGCCCTTGCTGGCTTGGCAAGAGGACCAGACAAGCGCAGCCACGTGATCTCTTGGAAGAAAAACGCTCGGAACGAGCGCTTTCACCCCCAAAACGCGGAAGGATCTGCACATGTGCACGAAGTGCAGCGGGCGCTCTTCATTCGCGAGCGCCGATGACCGATGATGCTCGCAACCCTCCCACGCCCTTGCTGGCTTGGCAAGAGGACCAGACAAGCGCAGCCACGTGACCCGGCGGGAGAAAAACGCTCGGAACGAACGCATTCACCCCCAAAACGCGGAAGGATCCGCACATGTGCACGAAGTGCAGCGGGCGCTCTTCATTCGCGAGTGCCGATGATCGATGATGCTCGCAACCCTCCCACGCCATTGCTGGCTTGGCAAGAGGACCAGACAAGTGCAGCCACGTGACCCGGCGGAAGAAAATCGCTTGGAATGAGCGCTTCTACCCCCAAAACGCGGAAGGATCCGCACATGTGCACGAAGTGCAGCGGGCGCTCTTCGTTCGCGAGCGCCGATGACCGATGATGCTCGCAACCCTCCCATGCCCTTGCTGGCTTGGCAAGAGGACCAGACAAGCGCAGCCACGTGACTTGGCGGAAGAAAAACGCTTGGAATGAGCGCTTCTACCCCCAAAATGCTGAAGGATCCGCATTCGTGCAGGAAGTGCAGCGGACGCTCTTCATTCGCGAGCGCCGATGACCGATGATGCTCTCAACCCTCCCACGCCCTTGCTGGCTTGGCAAGAGGACCAGACAAGCAAAGCCACGTGATCTCTTGGAAGAAAATCGCTCAAAACGAGCGCTAGTATCCCCAAAACGCGGAAGGATCCGCACATGTGCACGAAGTGCAGCGGGCGCTCTTCATTCGTGAGCGCCGATGACCGATGATGCTCGCAGCCCTCCCACGCCCTTGCTGGCTTAGCAAGAGGACCAGACAAGCGCAGCCACGTGACCCGGCAGAAGAAAAACGCTCGGAACGAGCGCTTTCACCCCCAAAACGCGGAAGGATCCGCACATGTGCACGAAGTGCAGCGGGCACTCTTCATTCGCGAGCGCCGATGATCGATGATGCTCGCAACCCTCCCACACCCTTGCTGGCTTGGCAAGCGGACCAGACAAGCGCAGCCAAGTGACCCGCCGGAAGAAAATCGCTTGGAATGAGCGCTTCTACCCCCAATATGCGGAAGGATCCGCATTTGTGCACGAAGTGCAGTGGTCGCTCTTCATTTGCGAGCGCCGATGACCGATGATGCTCGCAACCCTCCCACGCCCTTGCTGGCTTGGCAAGAGGACCAGACAAGCGCAGCCACGTGATCTGTTGGAAGAAAATCGCTCGGAACGAGCGCTAGTACCCCCAAAACGCGGAAGGATCCGCACATGTGCACGAAGTGCAGCGGGCGCTCTTTATTCGCGAGCGCCGATGACCGATGATGCTCACAACCCTCCCACGCCCTTGCTGGCTGGGCAAGAGGACCAGACAAGCACAGCCACGTGACCCGGCGGAAGAAAAACGCTCGAAACGAGCGCTTTCACCCCCTAAACGCGGAAGGATCCGCACATGTGCACGAAGTGCAGCGGGCGCTCTTCATTTGCGAGCGCCGATGAACGATGATGCTCGCAACCCTACCACGCCCTTGCTGGCTTGGCAAGAGGACCAGACAAGCGCAGCCACGTGATCTGTTGGAAGAAAATCGCTCGGAACGAGCGCTAGTACCCCCAAAACGCGGAAGGATCCGCACATGTGCAAGTGCAGCGGGCGCTCTCTATTCGTGAGCGCTGATGAACGATGATGCTCGCAACACTTCCATGCCCTTACTGGATTGGCAAGAGGACCAGCCAAGTGCAGCCACGTGACCTGGCGGAAGAAAAACGCTCGGAACGAGCGCTTTCACCCCCAAAACGCGGAAGGATCCGCACATGTGTACGAAGTGCAGCGGGCGCTCTTCATTCGCGAGCGCCGATGATCGATGATGCTCGCAACCCTCCCACGCCCTTGCTGGCTTGGCAAGAGGACCAGACAAGCGCAACCACGTGACCCGGCGGAAGAAAATCGCTTGGAATGAGCGCTTCTACCCCCAAAACGCGGAAGGATCCGCACATGTGGAGGAAGTGCAGCGGGCGCTTTTCATTCGCGAGCGCCGATGACCGATGATGCTCGCAACACTCCCACGCCCTTGCTGGCTTGGCAAGAGGACCAGACAAGCGCAGCCACGTGACTTGGCGGAAGAAAAACGCTTGGAATGAGCGCTTCTACCCCCAAAATGCTGAAGGATCCGCATTCGTGCAGGAAATGTAGCAGGCGCTCTTCATTTGCGAGCGCCGATGATGCTCGCAACCCTCCCACGCCCTTGCTGGCTTGGCAAGAGGACCAGGTAAGCACAGCTACGTGATCGGTTGGAAAAAAATCGCTCGAAACGTACGCTAGTACCCCCAA